GACTATAGCACCCCTGTGTACCCCACCCTCACCCCCACCGGCCCCCTACCCGGGCGAACAAGAGAAATATGGAGATAGAAATAGTGTGTGTGTGTGTGTGTGTGTGTGTGTGTGTGTGTGTGTGTGTGGAGGAAGGGGGGGGGGTTACTCACACACCGACGCAAACCTCTTTTGTATTCAGACAACGACATATGGATGTAAACTCCGGAGTATTGTGAGTGGCTTGGAACACAGAAATAAACTTGCTACGTTTCACTTCACGGATAACCACTCTGTGAAGTGCTGTCAGCGGCCATAATTACCCCATTTAGTTCAACCTTAAATCAAACCCCATTTCACGTTCTCTCGTCAGGTTTTCGACATCATGATATTCGCAGTAGGGTCATACGGTACACTCTGTCTACTGACCTACCTGACCACCCACTGTCCGGCCTGTCCAGCTCCCTCGGACTCCTCGCGGACATACTGAGTATTAACACATTAAAGTCCCTAACCCGAGCAATACATCAACAAATAATTTATCTTAATCCTAATCTCTGTTTACCTTCAGCTGGTCTCTTATCTAGCACAGTCCAGGGTGACAGGCAGGGAATCCGGCGATATCATAGGCCCACCTTATACGATGTGAAGGGAGGTTACCGAGAAATGAGGCTGGACGGTTTCCTTGAGCGTCCGAGCAGGTGTGGAGACGGTCAGAACAGTGGCCACACTCACAGTGGACCCTTGTGACTGGACACAGTGGACATGGGTCAGTCCTCGGCTGAGTCTTAATTGGGGTCTTCCTTTACACTGTGTCTCAAATAACTTCAACCCCAAGTCATTACTAATCGCACTTAACAAGAGTGCTGACCATTGGCTATTCAGGTGGGGATGGCCGCCGCTGACCTTCCCACACTGACCAATGACAGGTGCCCGTCGGGTCGGTATTAAGGGCCATGTTGGTCACCTGGTGGTCAAAGTGGACAGGCCGGATTACAGCTGAGAGAGGTGGCTAATCGCTGGACTTCATGGCCACCCGTACGCAGACTGGGACACGAAGTGTGTGCCTTAAAGATTCGCAGTGCTCACCTTATGTTCTTTATCGCTTTTTTTTTCTTGAAATAATTTGCATTTCAGAGTCACGTGCACTAAACACACACACACACACAATCACACACACAATCACACACACACACACACACACATACGTATGGATCCACGCCCCTGCATTCACGCTCGTATGTACGCACACACATTCACATATGCAAACATACATGCACACACGGGCGCACACAAATTCGCACACGCACGCAAACACACACGGGCATGCGCACACCTGCAGAAAGTCAGCCACTTTAAACTTACTTTGCAATCCCTCCACACCAGCTGTAGTCAGGAGAGACTAGACAGCGGAATATGTCCTCTCTACGGTGACTCTCTGTGCCAGAAATCACCGGCCACATCTTGGGACGGGATGTCTTACACCTGGCAGTCTCCACTGGGGGAACAAAGCCTCCTATTGAGCCTACTTTTGTCACACAGCAGTGACGCTCAAAAAGAACGCTCTAATACACGTAATATTTTATCAGCGTACTGTGGAAAGACATCACATGGCTATAACGATCTTTCTTATTGGTTCTAGCACATCTTTTAATAAAAGTCAGCGACCTATCACCTACACAGTGTATCCTGCAATAATGCTACACTGCAATCGATAGTGTGAAAACCGTGATGTGTACCTTGATTCAGCAGATTTGATTACAATTTAGGTTGTCAAGTAAAGAAAACAGAAAGAAGATTTAGTAAATTATAAACTAGATAAATTGTTCCCGTTTCGGTCTCGGTGATGCCGAGTCAGAAATGTCAGAACGAACTACTTCAGATACTTCACATCCATTCGGTAGACTTCATTTAACGTCCCCGTGTAACAGGAATGGAAGTCCTAGAAATGGAAGTCCGGGCTCCCATATGAATAGTACAGGTTAGGGTTAGGTGGGGTATTGGGGTTAGTATATGGACGAATGTCACCTGTACAAAGTAATAGGAAGCGGACTACGGTTCCAATTAGACCAAAGAAACATTGTCTAGCGGTTTATAACGTAATGACTTTGTGGCCCTGTGCCTTTGAGAATAAGATCAGTGCTTTAAGCCTCTCATTGAGTCTAGATTACGAACATCACACAGTCACTGTGGTACACGCACCCCCACATGTACCTGTGCATACATACACACGCACACATGCACTAACACTAACGTGCACACAAACACGCACGCACACACAAACAAAATACACGCACGTTAAATGTCTCATCTCCACCATAACTCGCCCCTGCCCCCCCCCCCCCCCCCCCCCACACACACACACTCCGGTGCACACACACCCCAAAATCACAAGAACTTCAGCCCTTGCGCCCTTACTCCCACCCCCTCCCCAGAAAATGCCCTTCAAGACACTAAATGATTAACTTACACCAGCTTTCATTCTGTCCTCATTCAGCGTTCATTATGTGACACGAATGACCATCTCCCGTCACGTTCTAGGGCCGCTGAGCAGGTGTGTGATCACTTCAAGTTCGGAGACAACCATAGCGTGTGCTGTTCCTTCAGCTGAAATTTATTAAGTCTCCCCACTCACACATTCGTAATAATATACCGAGACAAATTGATTAAAGAAACCAGCTATCGTGACTCGAGGTGAAAGTGGTGTTAAAGGTGACGGCAGTCAGGAACAGTGACAGTAGTTCACGGCAACACCATGGAGCCAGCGGCTGAAACATCAAGGACGCGGCCTTACAGTCTTGTATGTGCTACCACCACGGTTGACTTCTTTTAATTGATGTGAGGATCACCAAAATAGATAGTCACCGCCACTGGAAGCTGCCTCAGAGCTGATCAGTTTCTGTCGAGGATTATTGTCCCGGTTCATGTCTCCGGTCTTATGAGATCTTTCACTGAATCGTCTCCGTCTATCCGAAATTTCCTTATGCAGCAAATTACACTAAGCCGCCTAAACTTGCTAGTTGCACAGTGTCCAGCAGCGAGAAAAACAATGGCACAGTAATGCCTTCCCAGGTTGTCGGAATAATTCTCACCTACTTGTTGCCTCGGTTTTCTTCAAGTTGCGACCAAACAGTAATATTGAATTTTGCCGCACGCATAGAGTTCTTGCTCACTTTGTTGCTGACGACAAACCTTGTTCCGTCTCTAGGAAACAATTGCAGGACAATTGTTATCAGATACGCGGTCACTTTCCAAGTAATTGCTTTGAGAGTTGGAATCCCAGCAATAAGGTAATGCGGATAATTAGCCAGCCCACTAGCTAATCAACATGCGTTAGTCATACTTAACTAGCGGAAAGGAAGCTTGTTGATGGATCTCCATTGGACGCAGACAACTGAATCACAACTTATAACATTACACAGTCTTACGTCGTCTGCCAGTGACGCATTCAACATCCAAACAGGATAAGGTCTTCTTCTGCGTCTGAGCGCGTTTTGACGTGCTCTCACGTTTTTTAAAGGACCCCCGCACTTTTCTGTTGCACTATGCTTCTAAAGTGACAGACCTGCGTCCGCTGCACCCGCAAGAAGACGCCGCCCCCTTGCACGAAGATAGTGATTACCATTTGTCGGGTGCGTGACAGAGATGCCATTTTACGTCTTCTACCACACGCAGCGTCCCTAATATCGTTATCTGTTCACGTAGACTGCGCGTCTTTTAAAGAGAACGGTGCCAAAATTCGTCGGGTTCAATATATGTAACAGCAACACGCTGTAAGGGCACTGTGTCAGATCAATGAATGGCTTGTATCAGTGCTTTGTGGTTGTCAATAAATCTTTTGTGATGATAAATGTGTGTGATATATGTAAATCATTAATTAAAGTAGTTTATTTTAATAATCTGCATTTATGAATGATATATCAAAACAACATTTCAAAATATAGATACGTTATCTTTGTCTACACGTTCACACAGGAATGTAAGATGTTTTCCATTTCGCACCCAATTTAACAGCTCATCTCCAAACGAATTTCTTTGCGTATATAACGCCTTCACTCTATCCCTGCGTAATAAAACTGTGAACTACCACCCCACCTACCGCATCAACAACAATAATATCCGCGACAGGGTACATGAGATTTAAAAACACGTCTTACGTCTTTGGCACACTGCAATAGATTGGTTTTATCCCTGAATTCAGATAATTATGCACGTTTTTTATTATTTAAGGCATCTTCTTGTAAAAGGCGTTTAGTTCGCGCTAGATCGTAACTCCCTGTGCTCCGGGTAGTGCTCTGGCTGAGGTCGTAGTATTCGACACGTTTGTGCCAAAATTAACGAGAAATTTTAAATTGGTCTCGTTAATTTTTTTCTTCTAGTTTTCCTTCATTTGCTATTTCATTCACGGTGTAAAACATAAAAAAGAGAATCAGCTATCCAGCGGCTGGTGTAATGATAATTTGTTAACACATTTGACTTGACATGTTGGTTGACTTACATCACTACATAGTGATAACCTCGTTTTGCTCGAGATCCCTAATCAGCGCAAATTCTGCTCTAGATCTTTAATCAGTGCAAATTTGGATAAACTCCTTTGAAGACATACCTTTGAGGCCTTAGGCAAATACAGTACATCGGTACTTTTTTGTACATCTAAGAATCAATACGCATCTACATTGCGTCCCCAAAATTGTTAGTAAACTTAAATGAACCGAGTTGGACTTTGATAAGCGTGTGTAACCGCAGATGTATCAAGCGTATTAGCCAAGTGCAACGGCACTTTATTTTCCGAAGGCTCTGGCTTGAAGATAAGATCACATGACGTGATTTTACCGTACGAGCAGAGTAATATGTCATCTCCAAACAACGGGAGGTATTGTGAAACGCACGGATGACTGGAAGCAAACTTTGTTGATAAAGATTGTGGTGAACACGATCCTAATGATGTAGTCTCCGTCTGAATAGCGTTGAATTGCGTGACACCAATTTTTCACATTTGCATAATTTGCCTCTGTGTGAGGGCATATACGTTTAGAAAAATCTCATATTCATGTGAATTGCAATCGAGCATTAGCTTATATCACTAGGGTAGACTTTGTAGCCAAAGAGCACTGGTAAACATTCACGAAGAAAGCTTTCCACTTTACAATAGAGTTCATCATATTGCTTTTCAAGTTTTAGTGAAGCATTAATTGGTGTGCTCCGGTCTCTCAAGTTTTAGCCGTTTGTGAAATGGAGCATTAGTTTAATGAGTTAGTTTCTTGTGATGTTAGCGTTATAAAGGATATAATATTCAAACCGCAAGAGAGGCAATGGAAGGAAGCCCAAGTTAAGGGTCTATAGAAAACTTAAAGAAAACTTAGTGAGAAAATTATGTTAAGTATAAATTAAAATCGGTAGAAAAATCAATCATGGCGCAGTTCAGATCAGTTCTTTCATTATATGTGGAAACAGGCCGATTTGTTAACAAAAAATTAGAAGATAGACTCTGTATTTTCTGTAGATAATGAGTATCAATTTTCATTTTATTCCCCAATTTCTAAAAATCTCAGGAAAAGATGGTGTGAAAAAGTAAAAATGGGTGATCGTATCTTTCATGACCTGGAGGAGGTTAAAGAGAGACCTCAAGTGCTTTTTACAGACTTTCATAGAAGCACAGCTAGGGTTAGAAAGAAGTTGTTATATAATTAATGTTAAAACCGGTATTGTCACGAAAATAAATCTATTTAACTAACTATGCCAAAAAATTCTGTCGTGTCTTATTTACTATTTTGTAGCTGGTTTGCACAATCTCAATGTTTTTCTTCTCTTGGATTACTTTGTCATTATCAAAAATTCTTCGTCCACATAAGGCAATTTTTACTTTGGTTTCTATAACCAGCTTACCAGAAACGACCCTCCCGCGGCAGCAGCATGGAGTTCTGAACAAACTGTACCTTCCCCGGAACCGCCAGGTAGTCTAAGGGACGTGCCTGATGTCCTGAAACTGTCGTCTGCTTTTCTCAACCCATGAACGCAATTCATGAACGCATTCCCATTTTATGATAGTAATGAAAAGTGCAGATGATAAACCACAAAAAAAGCCGACCAAAATGATAAGTCATGATACCCTACACGAAGTTATACTTCCATATTTGCTGACATATATACGGTGACCTTTAATTATATTATATAATTAATTTTAACTAGGAGAAACACTGGTGAACCTTACCCTCCCCTCCCCCCTTCCTTGACCCCCACCTTGTCCAGTTGATGGATAAAAATTGTATGTAGTTTATGTAGTTAAAGTGAATGAAAACTTAAACATGTAATGTGAGATCGCGCGCGCGCGCGCGCGTGTGTGTGTGTGTGAGAGAGAGAGAGAGAGAGAGAGAGAGAGAGAGTAGAAGAGTCACCTCCCCGTCATTTCTAGCATGACGGAGTTATATGTAAGTGTCACATATATTTTGTAGAATTTCGTGATAGTTTAAGCTCATAAAGATACCACGGAATGTCGCCTGACTTTGAGACATTAGTATCTGAGGAATAAAGAAAACCCTTAAAATTAACTAACTGTGAGTTGCGAACCAAATTAAATTAGGGGCACATACATGCACGTTATGCAAATTTCACATGTGTGCTTTTGAAAATAGTTTACAATTTCATCTTACGTATCTATAAGTTTTTGATTTTCAAAGAACAGGGAGCTGTGCCCAGTTGATCCGGAATGAAAGGGGTTTTCAACTCAAAGATGGAAGTACGTGAAATACGCTAATAATTCTGGCATTGTGTTAAGTAGTTTATAGTAGTTTATTTCACTTTAACCATGGACATAATAATTATTATGTCCATGCTTTAACATATGCATCCACCTGGTACAATATAAATATAATTTTAGTGAATATGCTACTTAAACAATCACTATGAGTAAGACTATTTGCTTACTAAAAAAAAAAAAAAAAAAAAAACGAGTTTCTATTACTACTACTCAATTGCCGATGGGTGCGGCACTGTCTTCTAGATCCCGCCTAGCAAAAGCGAAGGAGAAAAACTAAGCTAGTGCAAAAGGGTTTCTTCTTCTTGACATTTCATAATGATAGTAAATTTTTCATCAGTTGTTTTGTGTATAGTGTTTGGTAATTACCTTATATAATATTGTGCGCAGGTCGTTGTATAGGGGGCATGTTGTGAGAAAGTGTTTTTTATCTTCAATTTTGTCTTTAGAACAGTAATGGCATATTCTATCGGTCCGAGGAGTGTTAGTGTATCTGCCTGTTTCAATGTGGAGTTTATGCCCATTGGTGCGAAAACAACTTAGGTTTTTTTCTTTTATCAGTTTCATGAAGAACGTCTAGATATTTTTCTTTCTTAAATGTATTTTTGAATTGGCAATAGGCTCTGGATTTAGTGTGCGTTGGAATGCTCACCACATCGGGGCATAAGAAGGCTCAGCTCTTGTACATGTGTTATATTTTATGAGCACATTTGACACCAACAAAGCCAAGATATGACGTTTCTCTGTTCACATATTATTTCAATTGTCCTGTGTGTAAGAGAGACAAAATACCACACTTATCAGCGTACTTTACGTATCTCATTCTTGAGAAGGAAATGTTGATTGCAATAGCTGTGCCTGGAATGGTGATTGCGCTGGGTGTTTCGCTGGCTGATGTGCTATAGCGTTTTTTAATCTGCTGTAAACACGTGGTCCCACAAAAATTTTAATATCATTTATGCACAACCNTGTTTACTCCAGGAAAATTCATTTTTTGGCCGAAACGAAGAGTTATTATTGCTTTAAGATGTACAGTCTTTTATATAAGAAGAAACTATTATTTTAACTTGTTAAGCGTTACACAACCAAAGACCATCTAATCTTTTCGCAGACAATGAAAACAAATGAAACAAAACAACAACGGAAATGGGAAAACAAAGGTCTGTGCGAGCGGGTCAGCGGTGTGACTCAAGCGTGATCATTCGTCCCTTGAGGCGTGAAGCCATCCTAGGGGGAGAGATTGCCTCATCACACGACGCACAGGACTCATTCTCTCGCGCTCAGCCACCCCGTCAACACCGGGAAACAACAGCGGACGTCTTAACACTAAAAGGTAAGGGGCGACATTTATTTTTGCAAATTTCTTTATTGGAACTTCTGTGTTAATGCAAGGTATATTAGGGAGCGTAAAGAAATGGACACTGATAAACACTCAGGAGATTATATTTGATGAAATCCTGATAACCCATCCCAAACATTATAGTACGGTTTCTGTGTTAATCAGACTTTCGGTCGGAGAGAAGGTAATTTTGAAATGAGTAGTATTAATTAATGTATAAATAAGTTCTTATGGTTTTATGTTATTTTGATCACTTTGATTCAATCATTAATGAACAACCTCATCACCGCTTACAAGTGATACAGTTCCTATATTACCAAATGTTAAACAGTGACACTATTGGTTTTTATTTAACTCATGTTGTATCGAATGACAAAAGCATAGGTTACCACGTTAGCTATTATATTGTACAGGGAAGTTAACTGGTAGAACCTAGTCACAGCTATGTGTACACTGCTACTTCTCAAAGTGGGATCTAGAGTGTTCACTACTAGACAACAACTGAGTGGTGTAATTAATGCCGTGTAAACTTCTTATGGTAGAAAAATTGTCATGAATTAGGCAGAGATGTACATGTGAAAAATCAATCTGTGACCCTGATTGAGGGTAGGTTTTAAATAGGCTGCGTCCTAAAGCCAGAAACTTTTTATGGTGTCTCTTCATTACATCTACAAGCTGTATATATTAAGATAAAACC